TTATTGCGTGGACGGGGTGTGAGGGATGAGGTGCGGGAGATGTGGGAGACACGGTTGAGGGCGTTCTCGACCACCGAGGAGGGGAAGTTACGGTCCTTGAAAAACGAGGACAACTGAGATGTACGGGAGTGGAATGCCTCATCCTGGGAGCAGATGCGGCGGAGGCGAAGGAATTGGGAATAGGGGATAGCATTTTTGCAGGAAGGTGGGTGGGAGGAGGAGTATTCTAGGTAGCTGTGGGAGTCGGTGGGCTTGAAATGAATATTGGTTTCTAGGTGGTTGCCTGATATGGAGACAGAGAGGTCCAGGAAGGGGAGAGAGGTGTTAGAGATGGTCCAGGTAAACTTAAGGTTGGGGTGGAAGGTGTTAGTGAAGTGTATGAACTGTTCGAGCTCCCTGAATTGAAACCTCTTTGGACCTGGAGAGACCAGATCACAGGCATCCAGGGTTTCCAAAATGAAGATGTTGGTGAGACATTATGTCAGGTGGACAGGATTGGATGAAGACATAGCCATGTGCCTACAGTACCAACAAGGACAAAAATTACCGCCAACAGGTCCCGCACTTTTGTGGGAATGCCCAGGTAAACCCTGGACTCAGTTACACGTCAACAACGTAGGTCCTTTCATGGGCTCAATGTTCTTAGTCATTGTGGACCCCTGCTCAAAGTGGCTAGACGTACATAGAGTTCATTTTTCAAATACGAGGACAGTGATAGAAAAACCATATGCAGCTTTCACAATACGTGAACTCCTGGAAGAATTGGTCACAGAAAACGGGCCATCATTTAGCAGCAGGGAATTTGAGTATTTCCTAAAGTTGAATGATATTCGACATATAAGGACAACTCCATATCATCCATCATTCGATGGTCTGGCAGAAAGAGCTATCCAAACTTTGAAGGCAGGCTTAAGAAACAACCTACAGCTTCACTAGATACCAGACTGTCTCGGTTCCTGTTTGATTACAACCCTCATGCAACTCCAGAGGTAGCTCCAGCAGAGTTGCTATGGGGAAAAGACTCCATACCAGGTCAAATCTGATCTTCCCAGACCTGGGGAGAGAAGGTGAAACAGCATCAAGAACACCAATGCCGGACACAATAATCCATTAAGTCAGAGACACAGTATACTTAAGAGGATAAAGTTTGGTGTGGGAACCCCTGTCTGAAGAA